TGTGGGGTCTATTTGGAGATTGCCTCCTTCCGGGTTCATCAACATCATCAAGTGGAGCGCACGAGGAAGAGCAAGTTGAAGGTGATGGAGGCTGCCCTGCTCCCAGGCGCGGGCGTGCGCGACATGGCGCGGCCACGCAGCTGGTGGCGCGGCCGCGCCTCTCAGGGTCTCTATTCTGTACCAGTTTTGCACGGTTGCGCTCCCCCTTGTAGTTGGTCGCGCCTGTACGGGTCTTTTTGGACGATCTAACTACCTTCTCTTTGTTAGTTTTACTATATACAGATTTTCCTTCTATTTTTAGGGAGAGTTAGTTCTTGTAGAATTAGATCGAATAGAATTATGTTAGATTTTTTAAAAAGATAAACTCTAGTTTGTAGAGAGAGAAGTTCTTGATTGATGATTCTAAGTATTTTCTCCATTGATTTGAAGGAAGTTTGTAAGTATTTCTTTTACTTCTATGCAATCTTTAGCTTTTGATTTTAATTGCTTTGTTAATAGTTCAAGTTTGATTGATTTTAGCTTGATTAATAAGATGATGATGAATTTGTTGTTTAGCTTAGTTTTGATTTTGATTTCCATGGATTGTGAGTAGTCTACTTGCTAGGGTAATGGTGAAGCATACATGAGTAATGGATTGATGCTAACTGGGTGAAATTGATGGATTTGATGTTGTGATTAAATTGGTTGATTGATTATGTGCATGTGTGTGTTTGATTTAGGAGTGATCAACCTAGTTACTCGCACTAGATTGCATTGTAAGTTCACATTGATACGGACAATTGATTTGTGGCTTGCATTTGTCGATTGAGTTGGTTTGTGAAGTTCATAGCTAGAGTCTCTTGTAGTTGGCGCTAATTTGACCTCTAGGAGAATAACTTATCAAATTCTTATGATTGCATTATTGATTTTCCCTTGCAACACTCGACTTAGTCAATTCCAATTTCAATTAGTTGTATCCATTGCATGTATATGTGGATCCTAAACCCTAGTGTTTGATATGTTTTATTTCATTTTGATTGTTTGATTGTCATAGAATATACACACTTTACTTCAATACTTCGAAATAGCTTAGCTTTAGCATTACATTCACCTCCCATTCCTAGTGGTTCGACCCTCGACTTACTCCTATGCTAATTATAAGTGTGTGTTGAGTGATTACAAATTTTGTTTGTCCTAGGGAAGATTAGTCCAACGACCAAGTCTCAACCTTTGTTCAGTTGTGGGTTGGAACAACAACCAACCCACCAACTCGTATTGGCAAGGACCCCTAGCTCAATTTCAGAGCTACGAACCTTCTCTCCTTACGATTATCCACATCCCTGAGGTTGTGATCTTGGGGGGATCCTTCTTATTACCACGTCCCCGAGACATATGGTAATATGGCTCCCGAGGAGATCGATAACCACCCCTTAAGGGGATACTTCGGGTTTTCACCCAGGTATGATGGTGGTTAGGGTACTAGTAGTGCACCGGACTACGGTCACTATCGAAGTAGCCCCTACTATGATCTTCCTCCCTACGTGGATCAACCTTCCTACTCCGGCGATGTAGACCCAAACTATAACATCGCTGCCTAGGAAGGATTATCGGGAGTAGCCTTTAGACATTTGTTTTTACTATTCCCTTCTCTTCCTTCCCTTCATGTGTAACACCAAGGCCGATGATATGGCATGCCTAGGCTAGAACGATTGCATATTGAAGTTTGGGACTTGTGGTAGGATTCATATGGTATTAAGTTCTATGCCTATTTTAGGTTGGTTGTTTTTCTTTTCACGATAATATGGCATGCCTAGGCTAGAACGATTGCATATTGATGTTTTTGTCTCACTCCTCCTTATATGTGTGCTTTGTAGCATCTTATTCTTATGATTAGTTTTGGTATTTACACATTTTGGTTTGTTTGTGTGATGTTGATTACATGGTATAGTTGGTTTGCTCTTGGTCTCTTTTGATGATGATTTGTGATGCTTTGATTATGATTGATGATGTTGGTTTTCCCTAATATCCAAACATCTTCCTCTTCTTCTTATCTTCTTACGCCACTAACATCGAAATTCCCTAACATCCAAACCCCTAATATCCAAATTCTTTAATTAGTTTTCTTATCCCCTACCTTCTTCCAAAAAAAATTGAATAAAAAGGCTTTGAAAAAAAAAAGTTGGTTTGCTTTTGATCGGTTTGAAATGATGATATTGGATTGTATGTGGTGAATACTTGTTTTCTTTTTGTAATAAAATTTCGAGCATGGTTTAGATGCCCTTGGTTGAACAAAGAATTGGCTAGTTTAGGCTAGTGTGAGAATAACCTTACCGAATGTATGAGACTTAAAGTCTAGGTTTGTGGTAAGATAGTGTCACCTATCTCAAAGGAATTTGAACCCCGAAAGGTAGTATTTGATTCCGCATTGTTTTCAAAAGTGAGGTTTTATTATCTTTCAAGCCTACTACATTTTGTATGAGTGTCGAGGATCCTCTTTTATTTAGTACCTAGATTGAGAACTTGAGTCTCAACTCTCAAGACCGCGGTCTAAACTACTCTTATTGTTGATGAAGGTTGTTATGTATTTGTTATTCACAAAAGTTAATGCATATCGTTTTATTGTTTCCTTTGTTCAATCTTTAATATTTTGTAATTAGTTTTGTGTTGTGAAATACTTTAAAAAAAACAAAAAGTGAATGAAAAAAAAAACAAAAAAAGAAAAAAAAAGAAGTGATGATTAGCCACCACCCTAGCAATTAAACAAGCTTGGGGGTGTGTTTTTATTTTGATTCATTCATGGTTTGTAATATGGGGCCATAGTTAGAAACCTCTTTAGGTTTTTTCTTAATGATATACATTTTAGTTTAGGTTAAATTGCAAAATACTTCTAGTTCTTTCTATGCCTTAACTTTATGTCAAAATCCTTGAGACTTGTAACGTTAGGAAAGTAGTGGAAGCCATTCTCGGTGGAGGGAATTGATTCACAAGCATATGGATAGGGTACTATTTCATTGAGATGTCAAGTGTCTTATAACCCGCTTTATCTATGTTTTTCCAGCTCCTTCGAGGAGTCAAGAGACACTACCATTAGGGGGGATTGGAATTTTGTGATGGGGACGCGGTAAGATGTGTTGAATGGGCCTAGGTTGAGTATTTTTGGGAGGGTTATCTAGGCCTTGACTAGTCATAACTGTGGTTGATCTTAGGCATATACCTCATGCTCAAATTTTATTACTTAAGGATTCTTGTATCTATGCATGTACTTTTCTTTCAGCAAATTGATTTTTTGTTTTGTTATTGTGCAATGTGAATTGCTTGAGGACAAACATTTGGCTAGCTTGGGGGGATTTGATTAGTGGTTTATTTGAACACTTATTGTGTTGATTTAAACCCGGTCTTGCAATCTTTTCCCTTCTTTGTAACCCATTTTTGAATGAAAATGCCGTATCTTGGCTTCGCCCCCTCTTTGTGTGTGTTTGTCAATGTTTTGCAGGTATTATGTCTCAATTTAACAAGCCCTCAAAGCCTCAAAGGATGTTCAAGGCTCGAAAGCAAAAGAAAGTAGAGCCCGCTCCAGGAGGAGCGGGTGTGCACCTCTCTTGGAGAGGGTGCTCCTCAACTTAAGCCACATTCAGCCACAACACTGAAGTAAGGAGGAGCAAGCGTGCTCCCACCTTGGAGCGGGTGCTCCTCCCATTGAAGATCTAACTCCGACTTAAGCTGCAGTAGGGAGGAGCGGGCGTGCACCCTCATTGGAATGGGCCATTGAAGATCAATTTCGCCATATGATGTGGAGCAGGGGAGCGGGCGTGCACCTATGAGGAGCGGGCGCTCCTCCTAGGCAGTTTCGAATCTGCAATTTTCTGAAGCTAGCAAGAACAGGCGTGCAAGACCTATGTGTAGGAGTTTATAGGTACTGTTAAGAGAAAAATCATGAATCATATTCAATCAAGGACCTAATCCAAAGATCGCATGCATAACACTCAAGACCTATAATCCTTACTTTGAAGCGTGAATTCCACGTAGCAATTTGACAAGCAAATCAAGGAGATAATAGAGTCCCAAGCGTTGCTCCTCTACTTAATCCACGAGCTTTGAACGAGCCGTCCACCAATACTAGATTGGTCGAGTAATTGAGGAATACCGCGATCACCACCTTTAATGGACTAACCGACCACCACGATCCACCACCACCACGAACCACCACACTGGCGCCGAGGGAGGAGAGAGTGTCGTGAGAGAGAGGAGAGTTTGAGAGGGCGAGGTCTCGTGTTTGCTAATTAGCGTTTGATCAAATTGATTACTGAATTGCTTCTCTGCAAACCCTAGGCACCTAGTTTATTTATAATCATATTACAATCCAAAACCCTCCAATCCTCTCCATATGGTCTGCCATACTAGGGGATGAGGCCCATCATGGGCCTCGTCCTCTTGTGCTCGATATATGCCCTTTGTGTGACCTTATAAGATCCGTCCAATTGGGCTTTAGGCTATTTTACTAGCCCATAAATTATTAGTACCTCTAGCTATGATAAAACGACGACCCAAATGTCCGAACTTAATTATCTCCATAATTTAATCCATTTATATATCTAGTAATTGCAGACGACGAAAACATAAATCCTTCAATCTCCCACTTGTCTAAGACAACACTAGTGGAAAAAATGCTATCCGTAACGGGCAAAAGCAGCCTATCCGTAACAAACCGTAGCCATTACGAATGTAGCCATTACGGATAGCAAATGTTATTTGTAACGGGCAAGTGCCCGTTACAAATAGTAGTTATTCGTAACAGGCAAAACAAGTGTCCGTTACAAATAAGTAGTTATTCGTAACGGGCAGAACAAGTGTCTGTTACAAACAACAAAGTTTTTCGTAACGGGCATCCACAGGCCATTATTCGTAACTGACACATGTTTTTCCCGTTAAAAATAACGGGATTATTTGTAACGGGCACATTCTACCCATTACAAATCCTGTGAGATCGAATTAAAAAAAAAATCACATGTTGTACTCTTACAACTAGCTTGCATTACACAATTATTTTATCAATTAATTAAGATACATATTTTATACAAGTTATAGTATACACTCCATATATATTCAGCAAAAGTTTGCTTTCATCAATTATTACCTAATAATAACTAAAACTTAAAACAAAGAAAAAACAAATCTCAATTTTAATAATAATAATAAAAGTTTACTTAAGACTACACTAAGATTTAAATTATTTTCCTCTAAATTAGTGTTGAATAATTTACATCTTCCATCATTTTTCCGAGTAGCTGCAACTTTGATTTTAATTCCGATAATGCCTTAGGAACCTGCAACAAAATCACCATGCATTAACAACTAATCAACTAGCATGCATTATTTGCTTGGAAGATAGCGCAGTGAAGTTAGAAAGCATGAAATGAAAAGGCAGAAAGAAGAATCACAAAAATTGGAAAATAGTGACAAAGAAATTTCCTAAAATGTGTTTGATGTGAAGATTAAAGAGAAAGGAAGAGATGGAGAATGATATATCTGTTTTTCTTTATATGCATAGATGTAAAATTGGGGAATAAACCAAACCAACCTGCCTCTCTACCTCCCTTTCCCCCTCTCTTCCATTACTGTCAACTTATCTTTAAGATTCATTAAGAAGTCAATATCTTAAATCCAACTAAAAACACTGACCAAGCTCGACTATCATCACTATTCAGTTGCAAATTTCTAGTACCGATGCATGATATTAACAGCAAGTTAACAATGACTTCTTCATCACTAAACTTACTATAATTCCATCTCTTAAGAAAAATGTCTACTTGCATGTGTGAAACTTTGCCCTAGATTCAATATATTACAATATAAATCAGAGTAAACCAAATAAATTAATGCAAGGGGATAACTTCAAGAAATATATATGTCACTTACAAAGATCAATGTATAGATGATACTTCTGTTGGAACAAGAAGTTCCAATATGAATATGAGTAACAGAGCAAGAAATATCCACTACAAAAACAATAAACCGGCATACAACATTGAAAATTATTGTTCATCCATAGCATAAATGAAGCAAAATACTTTGCATTGTTATAATTTGAAGCTCGTATTGTTATAATTCATATGCTCAATATACACAGGATTTAATCAGATTACTCACCAGAATAATAGAAAACTGACGTCTCATTACCATCCTTAACAGATAAGCAATTACCAAAACCTGTAAATGTAAAGAAAAAAAATAAGATATGGTGTTCTTGTGAATGTAATGAATTGACCCTCAGTTATATCAAGTTTTAATGACAAAAATGTAAGTAAATGTTTTATCAAAATATTGAAGCATTTATTAATGCCCGAATTTTCACGATTCAGATAAATACCATTTGTAGTGGATCACCTTGAAAGATCATTAATTCATGTTTGTTTCATCTGATGTCATCGTAGGACAATTCAATTGAGCTTCCGCCTAGTCCTGCATCCATATGAAGTAGCTATCAAGAAGAATTTTGGAAGCCAATAGACCATACCAGTCCAGCATCAATCTCTGACGTGACCTCAGTAGAAGATCACAGTGTGGGCAATGTTTTTAAAGACAATAAATAGTTTTTTCAACTCATTTCGAAGTACTCAAACCACTAAAAACCATTCTTTAAAATAACTAATATATTATTTTTAAATTTTTTATTAAACACACGCATAAATAGCACTGAAATAAGTTAAAAATATGTAAACAAATTTTTATTACAGTTTCTGCATTATTAATCTCATTTTATATGCAACGAAGTTTCGTAGTTCTTGTTTTCCATCACCACATTTTCTTGTCAGTAAATCTTATAAAAGTTCATAAACGAACATAAAGATAATAAACAGCAAACTGAATTGAAAAGTCTGGATTACCAGCCTAGCAACGAATAGTGTCTAGTATGGATCTTCGGTGGCATTTGGTTCACTTTTTGGATCATCTGCCATGTACAATAATGAAATTTTCACTTAATAAAAAAAATAAAAATAAAGATAAACAAAACAGTGCAAGATTTACACGGGGATTACATTTCTCTATCTGTTTTGCAGCCTTTGCAGCACCTTTTCTCCAATCGTAATTGGTGAACACTGGCTCTCCTTTGGCTTTGCACATGGAGACACAACATAGAAATATAGAGTACTCAGACACCAACACAGCAAGCAACTTTAAATAAAAATTGTTTCACCCGAGTTCAAATGGAGAAGGATGGACAAGCACAAAACACTCAAAAAGCTCAAAGTGCTAGATCAACAAGACCAGTTTTAATGTAGCATTCAAATCAAACAAAATTTTTTATAATTTGCTCAGCCACTAACACAGATATATTTTATCGGAAGCAACCAGCCATGGTTAGAATTAACAGACAGTTTTCTATAATTGAACAGTAAAATCACAAAAAAACAACTAAATAAAATCGAAAAAAGGCCTTATACTTTCAGCACAAGAAATTTCAACCAAAATTATTTAACTACCTCTCATCACAAGAAAAAAAAAAAGGGTTCATTGAATCTGACTTTATTATAATTAGCATAATCAAGCTATGACGAGATTCATATATATATATATATGCACATATAATTCAAATTCTAACAAAATTATTGCAATTATGTAAAATCAATTATAGATCCTACAACAATATCAAATTTAGCACATTATAAATTTTAAACAACTGCTTCCCAGTATTCTTAAATGTCCCCGCGAAGCTCTCATCAACATCCTCACCTGTTAAGCGCAAGAGATGCAAAAAAGTCCTGCCATTCGGATCTCTGAGGTAGGATGATTGAGGGCAATATCTAAGTATATCTTGTACAACCTGATATTGACCAGACCTTGTTGCACTCAGTAAAGGTGTAAGGCCTTCATTATCTCGTGTATATGCTGCTTTACTGTTTTTGTCAATTAATTTATACACAAACTTGTCTGCATCATCATCATCTGCATGATTTTTAAGATTACCAGTTACAAACAATAATACCGAGTACATGTTATGTATAGATGTTTTTTAATAGTTGAGGTACCTACATATTCAAATTCAGCAAATATACTAAATTAAAATCGAAAACAGGCTTTATACTTGCAGCACTGAAATTTCAACCTAAATTTAGCATCAAAATCTTGGCCCAATCCATTTAACTACTTCTCATCACAGAAGAAAAAAAAGGGTTCATTGAATCCGACTCTATTAGAATTAGCATAATCGAGGTTCATATATATATATATATGCTCATTATATTCAACTTCTAAAAAAATTATTGCAATTACGCAAAATCAATTATAGATCCTACAGCAATATCAAATTTAGCAAATTATAGATAATAAATAAATAAAAAGGCAAAACTCAAAATTTGGTAAATTACTCAAGCAAACACAGAAAATATAATGTTCAACAAAACAAACCATACATAACCATAAATTGTGTACCTAAAACCAGTCAATAAGATAGAAAAATAGCTGACATAATTTGACAAAATAAGCTGAAACAAACGACGAAAATCTAAAACCGAACACAATAACTGATAAGGACGCTCTAATTTCATCCCGACCTTCTCCAGCTCCTCTGCCGCCAGTGTTTCAACCGGCAAACACCTTGTCATAGCTTGCCGGGATTCTAGATTAATGTAAAATGTGATGAAATCAAGGGTTTATGGATTACATGAGATGGTGGGGTTTGGGTAGAAGAAATCAATTTTCGCCCAAAACTTTTGGTGAAGGAAGATCTTGATACCATGGATCTCCATATCTCTCCTCTCTCCTCTTTCTCTCGATTTTTGCAAGCGTGGGCTATGCAACAAGGTTGAACCGTTGGAGAAGGGTTTTTGGGGGGCTAGTCGTCCTGTGTTGGATGAATTAAAACGGAAGAGAGAGAATAACTGGAAAGTTGAGTAGGGCTAGAGAAATTTGAGTAGGGCTAGAGAAATTTGAGTAGGCCATTTTTATTAGATTTTGATTGGGTTTAGGGATTGGATCTTGAAGTGACGAGAGATGAGGGAAGATACGAGACTACGAGAGAGTGGTGGAACGTCGTTCGATGGTGGAGACGGGAGATGAGAGATGAGGGAAGAGAGAGACTGTGATTGAAAGAGAGGAAAAGTAATTTTAAAGGGAGGAAATGTTATGCATTTAGAAATGCATAACAAAGGATATTCATGTAATTATGTATATGTACAAACGAATAAATATTCTGATATCATTGGATGATTAAATGGTACCATTAAATATACAGTGATACTATATGTGCACATAATGGTATTATATATGCATTCAGTTGTACTAGATTCATGCGTAAGTAGTACCACTGAGGATTCAATAGTACCATATACTCCCTCCGTTTCAGGTTACTCGCAACAAATTAGGGAATTGCGGACTCCTAGGCAAAAAATCCAAAGCATGTTTAACGAAAAATAAGGGATATACTTAAGTGTTAATCAACCCAAAACCTTACACCAACAATCCACCACCAACATGCTTTGGATTTTTTGCCAACACCTAGTAGGCTAGCACCGCCAGACCACCACCTAGACCATGAAACCACCCAACACCACCACCAAGCACCACCAGTCCAGCACCTACAGCTAGCACTACGAAACCCCCAACACCACCATCTAGCACAACAAAACCACCCGTAACCACCATCTAGTACCACCCACCACCCACAACCCCGATACCCACAACCCACGAAACCCAGAACCACAACCTACAACCCCGAAACCCACCACCCACAACCCCTGAACACCACCCAAAATCCACGAACCCACAACCTCGAAACCCACAACCCACGAACCCAAATCCACCACCCACAACCCCCGAACCCAGATCCACCATCTACAACCCCGAACCCACACCCACATCCACGAAATCCACAACCCACGAACCCACAACCCCAAAATCCACAACCCACGACCTTGAACCCAAACCCGGAACCCCAAAATCCGAAACCCACAACTCTCATCGGCAATTACAAAACAACAAGAAAAGGAAGAGGGTGAAAATGGAGGCGGCCATAAAAAAGGGAAATCGGCAGCGACTTCCGGTGACGGTGGTGTCTCTATGGTTTTGTCATTGCCGGTGAGAGTTATGGATGGTGGGTTGAGATGGGAGAGGAATGGTTTTGGGGGAAAGAATGAAGTTAGGTTAATGTTAGGGTTTAACTTAATTAGTTAAAATCAGTAGTTTAATTAGGGTGTTTAATAAAAAAGGTAAGGGTAATTTTGTAAAATCACACATAAAAACTTACTAAAATAGGAAAGAAAAATTTGTGTTGCAAGTAATGTGAAACAGCCATTTTTGGTAATTGTTGCGAGTAACTTGAAACGGAGGGAGTATAAACTTTCAGTGAACAATCAGCATGTGGTCCCCCATCACGTGATACAATCCGATCAAAAAATAGGTGTGGTCCACCTACATGCCTCTCTCTTCCTATCTTTCTCCTCTTTTCTCTCTCTACCATGTGTTTTTATAATATTTTAATCAATGTTATGCATTAGTAAATGCATAACTTTCCTCCATTTCTAGTTCCTCGGAGAGGAAGACGACTAAAATGAGTAGTGAAGTTAGACAGGGAGTACTAGGGTTTTTTTATTTCCTTGATAAAGTTATTTGTATCGGGCAAAAGGTGCCCTTTACAAAAACGAAAGTATTTGTAACGGGCAAAAATTTTGTCGTTACCAATAGTTTAGTATTTGTAACAGATACCATTTTGTCGGATACAAATATTATTTAACCTACCCATTACGCTACTTTATTGTAACGGACTATAATTTTTCACGTTACGGATATTATGCCCGTTACAAATAAGGCGTTACAAATGACCCTTTTTCCACTAGTGCAAGTGTGCAGTATTCAAATTCCTTAAGTCAATATGTGTCGATTTGATAATATGTTTGCATCACATGTCGAGATCTGTTAATATACAAATCATTTCTTGAAATCTGAGTTAGAATTACAAAACCAATAATTACAGAGTAATGCATTTGAACGCGGCCACATATTTTCTGAATTCTCCCTCTTCAGGTGGCCATGACACATTTCCTAATTTAATAGGTAGACTCAATCCAATCTTGTGACAACAAGGCTTCCACTCAAATTTTAAAATAACCAGGAAACACACTTTATAATATTTAGTTACGTGTAAACGTTTGATTGTACCACAGTCATAACATTCATTGAATGAAATCAATGTTCCACTCATGTCAAAGGAATCCACTAATATATCCGGAAACTCTATACTTGAACTTCAAAGTAGGTCATTAGTTCGATCATGCATCATTCATGCATATCCAAGTGACTAACCGAGCATCATTATGCCCCTTTAGCCCATGAAACTGCGCTATCCAATCAAATTTACATGCTAGTCCATTTATTCAAATAATTTATGTCCACTTTAATGATTTCGAACTAGGAACTTAAACTCACAAAATATATTTAGATCAACATCTAAAGTCATCTTGCCTGTTTTGAAAACTTGCATCTGTATAACCTTTTGACAACTTGTTCACTCTTACCATCATAAACTAGAAACATTCCTTTAGTCCTTCTCAAGTACTCAATGATTTGCTCTTGGAAACTTTCAGTATGCTTATTTTGAATTTACTTGAAACTTGCTACACATGCACAAGTCATATGTAACATCTTACTATGTACATGTCATGGCACATATAATGGACCCTTTTGCAAAAGCACAAGGTACAATATCCATACAACTCAACTCTACTAGCTTTTGAAGGCACTGAGTTTTACTGAGCATACTACCATGAAACATGGGAAGACATCCTCTCTTAGAGTCTTCCTTCATGAACTTATCAAGATCTTTATCAACATAAGTCTCTCAACGTTGTCCAATAATTCTTCAAGATTCATCAATAAAAACCATTAAAATACTTACTTTGATGCCTCGTACCTCTTTCTAATAACAAAATACACGCGTTAGTAACTTCAAGGAAAATAATAAGCAAAAAAATTAAATTAAATAATTATTGAAAGAGAGATTTGGGACCAAACTCTCAGAAATTAAACCTTTCACGTCTAGGGCGAAGGCAATTTCGAATATGGCTAGGTGTTTCTAAATTTAATGAATGCGGAATTTTGTATGTAAAAGGCTAGTTTAGAAAAGAGAGAAAGATCAAGGAAAACTTTATGGGAGTTGGTGTATGATTATTGAAGAGAATGAGAGAGAATTGATGATTGTTGATGAATGAAAATTGGTTATTGTAGGTGAAAACTGGTGAATGAAAACGGAGTTTATACGACGTTATTTATAAAGAAAATCAGCCAAAAGATAAAATATCAAAATAGAGTTCTGGCGCAGATAAAACCGAATTAGCGCCAACGCTGGCTATTAGCGCCAGGCGCCAACATTAGCGTCAGGCGCTAATGCTAGCGCCAGGCGCCAAGCGTAGCGCCAGGCGCCAAGCGTAGCGCCAGGCGCTACAGCTGGCGTTTGGCGCTGATTCAGAAATTCACACGTTTTCTTAAAATCAGATAGAAATTGCCGTACAGGAGGATAAAATCGTATATTTCCTCAGAAATGCTCTTTGATTCTAATTAAAACTCTGAAAAGTCAACAAGAGTCAATTTATCAATGCTAATTGAATTAGGAATGAAAAGAACCTTCTAGAAGAATCTAGAAGACTAAAACCATTCCTAATTGCATTAGGAATGATAAATCTATATTAGGCCCTCCCCTAGATCATTGGGCCGCATATAAGGCTCAAATCGGGCCTAGTTTAGTATTTTGGCCATAACTTCCTCATTATTCATCGGATTCGGCCTTATAATATATCGTTGGAAAGGTCTTTTCAAACCCCATCCAACTACACTACTATTGGACCCATATCATGGACCAATCAAACTGGATTGACTGTTTTCTTAAAATAAGTTTTCAAAAACAGAGAGAAGAGAAAAGAAATTAAAACTATCCGCAACACTAAACTTTCCACACTTTCACTTCATTCGATTATGATTCGACGCGAAAGGTACTCATCACCGGGTTTGGTTTTGGGGAGACACAAATGGGTGTCTACAACAATCATTTTGACTTTGATTCTTTGTTTGAATGCTTGGCAGAAAATGTTTAAGTGAACGCGCTCAATTTCTCATGATACGCATTACTAGATCATCTTCCACATTCGCATACTAGTCCAATCATGGGATACAAAGTAGCATTTGAGAAATTTAGAGAGGAACTTAAAAACCTAAAGGCCCTACGAGAAGAAGAAGCCAAAATGAAGGCTCATAAAAAAGCAGATAGGCTAAAATAAAAGCAGAAAAAGAAAACATTCTGCAAGAAAAAGCAAGAGCCAAAAGAGTAGAGGCCTTGGAGAAACTTGTCCTTCGAGCTAACTCAGGGAATAAGTACTTCAATTATGAGCTTGAACCACAACCTAGTGGCAAGACTCTCCCAAAAAAGTTCTTGACTACGGATTAGCCAACCTTTAAGGTTACAGACATTCCTAGAACTCACTTTATGAGCTTTATTGGAATTATGGCATTAAAAGGGGTTGAGCCAAGCCTATATGCATGTATTTTTCCTCTTTTATTGGACCCAACTTCTAGATCATGGTTTTATAACCTAGATGCAAAACAAACTTTCACTTGGAGTGACGTTGTAAAAGCGTTTTTAACCCAATATGGAGATAACATCGAGCTCACAACTACCTTGCGCGATCTCGAATTGCTTAAGCAGGGGGAAGAAGAAGGCTTCATTGGCTTATTTTCCAGGTGGCGATCAAAGGTTGCTCTTATTCCACAAAGACCTCCGTATCATGAACTTGTCCCAAAGTTCATCGACAGTATGTCTCCACCATACAAGTGCCATTTACAATACCTTGGTTTAGACACATTTCAAAAAGTCTATACTGTAGGAACATTAATTGAAAAGGACTTGATAAATGAAACCATGAATCATATAGATGGACTTGATTTTTAGAGAGGATTTCACCTACGTCAGAAACGGACAAAGCTCGAAGACGCAATCTCAAGAAGTTGTCAACAATTCAAGATGTAGCACCCTAGGTCTTGTTTTGTTTCTTTCCTTCGTTTTTTATGATAGACTAATAGATTCATGCTGTCGAATCTACTTATTTTGTTCACTCATTAATTAATGAATAAAAGATATATTTTCAAGT